CAAACATCTACATCTTGGATGGCCTGAGGGTGAGTACATTTTCAGCAAATTTTCATTTTTGGGTGAACTATTCCTGCAATAACAATTAATTAGAAGCATAAATAATTTGTACCCTAAATTTTTAGAAGAGATTTTAAGAGATTTAAAAAAAAAACTAAAATTGGAAAAAGTAAACCCAGACCTTTTGGATGATTCATTTTGTGTGATGTTAAAACGTACTTGTAAGGTCTCTTAGATAAAGCTTTGGTAATATTATAATAAATGTAACAATAATATTGTAATTAACATATACATACACAAAATTGTATTCATTTATAATTAATATAATATTTTATAATTACAAATATATGCAATAATAATATTTATATTAGTATATTATTTTAAATATAATATAATAATGTATAATTAATAATAATGTTAATGATATAATATTAAAAACATTACACTATATTATAAATACTATAATATATGCATATGTTAAATGACTGACCGACTGATTGGTCACAGTTTTATGTGACATAACCATGTCCTCAAACTCGTTATGGTAGATCACCATCAGGACCTGATCCTATTCAATAACTTGACTTTTAGCTTCATCTTCAGTCTGCACATGAAGAACAAACACTTTCTGAGACGTGCATGAGCATGTAAACTTCTGCTGGTGTTAGCACAATAATAACGCAGCCTTACGCCTCTGCTGTACCGCTAATGTACAGACTAAGAAAGAAGCAACAGTGTGAGTTACTAGTGACCTGAAGGGCTTGTCGTGTCCAGCTGATGCTGTTGGGAAGCGCTTGATTCTCTGTGTGGCTCCTCCACTGCAACCCATCTAGAGTCCCGAGAAACACATCACAGCCTGCGTCCCGCAACAGCGCTGGAGAGAAGAGAGATTACGTTTAGCTTAATTAAGAAAAAAAGTGTTTTTTGCATTCCACTTGCGCCTATTAGTATATATATATATATATATATTTGCATATTAAATTCAATTCAACAAATTTGTTAGACCACCTGTCATAAAGAAAAAACTCAAATATTTTAGGAATCTGTCAAAAACTTGCTTAAAACTTTTATTGTCATTTATTAGGCAAATAACAAACTGAAACAACTAAATAGTGTTTATTCACACATAATAAACAAAAAATGTAATATTTTGTATGGCCTTGATAACAGCTTGCATTCTTGCTGGCATTGTTTTTGTCTACTTTTCCACACTCTCTGTTGTTATTGACTGTAATTGGGCATCTGAATACAGAGGTGTATTGGAGTAAATGTAATTAGTTACTGTACTTGAGTATCTTTTCGGGTACTTTGTAGTTGTACTGAGTATCAAAGATATTAGCAACTTTTACTCTTTACTCCACTACATTTGAAATGAGTGTTGCGATGTTGTGATACAGCTGCTATATTTTGTGTGTGTAGAGAGTTCAGGATGTGAAGCGTCTGTCTCTCAGATACTGGCTGCTGGTTCTTACCATCATGTTCTTTTATAATGGCATCTTCCCCTTCATCGCTGATGCCAGGTACAGTCATGAGCCATATAGATGTGTCTAGAATAAAATAGATCTGTACACGTTGTTCATGTGTTGCTGTGTGTGTGTGTGTTTTCAGTAAGTTTATCCAGGACAAATACAGTGGATACAGCCAGAAGGAGGCGGCGTACATCGCAGGGTGTCTGCTGTTGTCGGTATCCTCATTGTAAGTCAATGCTGATTATTATCAGATGAACAAGCACTACTGCGTGTTACTAAACTCACAAAATAAAGTTAGAATCACTCCACAGATATTTAAATGAGATATTTACACATATGATTGCACATTTTGACTTAAAAGAAATTAATGCTTTTATTCGGCATGGATGCATTAAATTGATCAAAAGTGACAGTAAAACATTTATAATGTTACAGAAGATTTCTATTTCAAATAAATGCTGTTCTTTTCAGTTTTCTATTTATCATACAATCCTGAAAAAAAAAAAAATTATCACTGTTTCCATAAATAAAAATGTAGCAGCACAACTGTTCTCAACATTGATAATAATCAGAAATGTTTCTCGAGCAGCAAATCAGCATATTAGAATGATTTCTGAAGATCATGTGACACTGAAGACTGGAGTAATGATGCTGAAAATACAGCTTTGATCACA